CTCCTCCCCGAAATCACCATATATGGAGCTTACAACACCTAGTTTTACTATGCATAACCTCATCTGCATATAATTTCCATGCATATTCCCATCCATGTGACACCATATTTAACACCGTTAAAGGTACAAGACATTAAGGAAATATGAGATATGGACTATAAATGCCATTTATGCCATACACAATTTTTATTGCTACAAATCATCCAGTATCCTTGTTATGTTTTAGAATACATAAAGTGCACAGCATAAATGAGTACACCCCCTCTGATTAAATATAAAATATGTATTTTCTTAATGATCACTAATAAAGTTCATAGAAAGATGGCAAAATTGAAATGTATTAAACATATTCTTAATAAAAACAGAGAAATACATGCCATTAATATCTGTAAAATAAGAAACTTAGCTATGTTTTGTTTAAATTGACTCTTAACTTTTATAAAGAATATCTCTTTGGATTTGAGACTTTAGTCTTTGCAACTTTACAGATCTTCTTTATGCACCAACAGCTTGTAACACTCCAAAGAGAAAGGAAAACTTGAAATCGCATCATATGACCCCTTTAAGTTTCAGAGGGGGTGTACTCATTTATGCTGTGCACTGTATATCAAAATCCATAAAAACAAAGCTGTTTAAAATAGTTCTCAGATAAATATTTTAGAATATACACTGAACAAAATTATAAACGCAACACTTTTGTTTTTGCCCCCATTTGTCATGAGCTGAACTCAAAGATCTAAGACTTTTTCTATGTACACAAAAGGCCTATTTCTCTCAAATATTGTTCACAAATCTGTCTAAATCTGTGTTAGTGAGCACTTCTCCTTTGCCAAGATAATCCATCCACCTCACAGGTGCGGCATATCAAGATGCTGATTAGACAGCACGATTATTGCACAGGTGTGCCTTAGGCTGACCACAATAAAAGGCCACTCTAAAATGTACAGTTTTATCACACAGCACAATGCCACAGATGTCGCAAGTTTTGAGGGAGCATGCAATTGGCATGCTGACTGCAGGAATGTCCACCAGAGCTATTGCCCGTGAATTGAATGTTCATTTCTCTACCATAAGCCATCTCCAAAGGCGTTTCAGAGAATATAGAAAAAGTCTTAGATCTTTGAGTTCAGCTCATGAAAAATGGGGGCAAAAACAAAATTGTTGCGTTTATAATTTTGTTCAGTGTAGTTGATCTCATTCTTTTCCACTGGCCAAATAATATTTCAATAATTTTAATTGTTTTAAACAATTCAAATCAAATTTAATTTATGCAGTTTTGCTGATAAGGTGAACATCTTTGAGCTATTTTTAGCCTATATTTATTGCAATGTAAATATAATTGTCTGACTCCGCACGTCACTGACAAAGTAGCCTATTTTAAAAAGAAAACATGCAAATTACCATTTTCTTCAAGTTGTATCTTTCAAATACAGTGGTATTTTTCATAATGTTGTGGAGATGCCTTCACAACATAATTTTTGTGTGAATTTGTCCATTTAAACACAATACTTCAGAGAAAGCTTAATATTTGCGCGCGTTCTGAGGTGCGGGTTTGAGAGCTTCAGATGAGTGCACGCACAAATCTTCTCACTGTGCTCGCGAGCTCGAACGTGTTATTTATAGCAAACCATATTACAGATGCGTTGTCAGATTTAAGTTGAACCGCGGTCCTAGGGCGTGCCGAACCGTGTGTGGAGAACCGTATGGTTCGATTTTTTTTTCCGCGAACCGTTCCACCCCCCCTAGTAAATGTGTATATTGAAATGAAAACCGATTTTAAAATTGTTGTTTACTTCATTACTTTTCTCACTTCAGGAAAAAGAGTGTGTACGCATGGTCTAGAATGTCCGTACGGTGCATACATATTTACGCCAAGTTTATTTTTATTTTTATGTTTATTTTTAACGCCAACTTTTTTTTATAAAGTTAATTTTTTATAAATCCCGATATGTGCGTGGAAAATTGCGTACGCAATTTCTATGCCCATTTTGGGCGTACGCAACGTTTATAAATGAGACCCCAGGCCCCCGCCAAACCTGGTGGTAAGCGGAAGAGCGAGCGGCCCTGAGACGGGCGACCCAGAGATGGAGGGAACTGCTCTTCAGGAGATGGTGAATGCACCACTCCCTCCCCTGAAGGAGGGCCAGGTGGAGAATCTTTTGTTTTGTCCCACCATCAGCCTCACGGTTGATGGCACTCAAATTCTCGACAAAAGAGCAGTTTTCTCTATCTCTGAGTCCCAAGAGGACACAGAGAGTCACGGATGGACCAACACCGGACCACACTCATCCTCCTCTGTTGCCAGCAGGCAGCAGCGGGTGGTTCGAGAGCATCATCAAAGGCCCTACTCACGCACCCTTTGCCCAACCGTGGAACCAGGTAAGCGTTGCACCACACACTCAGACCACTTTTCGGTCCATTTACGAGCCGCCCGAGCCGGGTCCCTGCATTCCACCTCGCTGCCCCACTGCGGGTACGTCGATGGTTCCGCTGGTCCCGCTTGTACGGTATCTGGGTGCTTGGCTAGCGCTACCCGGCACGTCTCGTTGGCTCCTGTGGACCATCAGACTCGGCTATGCGATTCAGTTCACCAGCGTCCCCCGAAGTTCAGGGGCATCCACTTCACACCAGTGAAGGCAGCCGATGCTCATGTCTTGTGTGCGGAGATCGCAGTCTTGTTCGCTGAAGGACGCAATAGAGCCAGTCCCTCCAGCCGATATGAAGACGGGGTTTTACAGCCCCTACTTCATTGTACCCAAGAAAGGCAGTGGGTTGTGACCGATCTTGAACCTGTGTGTCTTGACCGGGCCCTTCACCGGTTACCGTTCAAGACGCAGAATCGCATCTTCGGGGGCATCCGTCCCGGAGATTGGTTTACAGTGATCAACCTGAAGGATGCGTACTTTCATGTGTCGATCCTTCCGCGCCACAGACCATTTCTGTGGTTTGCGTTCGAAGGATGTGCATATCAGTACATGGTCCTGCCCTTCGGCTGTCCCTCTCCCCCCGTGTTTTCATGAAAGTTGCGGAGGGGGCTCTTGTTCCCCTCAGAAAGCAAGGTCCTCAACTATTTAGACGATTGGCTTATATTAGCACAGTCTCGGGATCAGTCTGACACAGAGGATCTCTTTTCTCAGTATGGAGTTGGATTTGATCGAACAGACAGCATGCCTCACAGAGGAACATGCTCAGTCGGTGCTGAACTGCTTGAATACGTTCAAAGGCAGGACAGCGGTCCCACTGAAACATTTTCAGAGGCTCCTGAGGCATATGGCTGCTGCTGCTGCTGCCTCATCACCGGCTGGGGTGCCACATACAACTGGCAAGCAGTCTCGGGGGTATGGACCGGCCCCCAACTGCAGTGGCTTATCAATTGCTTAGAGTTGTTAGCAGTGCGCCTTGCCTTGAACCATCTCAAAGGGCGCTTACGAGACAAGCATGTACTGGTCCGTACGGACAACACTGCAACCGTTGCGTACATCAACCGACAAGGTGGTCTGCACTCCCGTCGCATGTCCTCCTCTAGAGTGGAGTGTTACAAGCTCTTAGTGCATAAAGGAGATCTGTAAAGTTGCAAAGACTAAAGTCTGAAATCCAGTCATGCCTGGAGCTGATCCGTGCTGGTCGCTGAGGGAATACATCAACTTCGCGCTGTGGATCGCCGGATCGGCTTTCACCGTGGACGAAGCGGAGTCCAGCCTGGGGTCGTCACATGTGGTTGCCGCAAGCCCGCCGGCCGCACCGTTCTCAAGCCCGCCCGCCTCCGCTCACTCTAGGCCGCCAGCCGCCACTCACTCTAGCCCGCCGTGTGTGTCGTGTGTTTCGTTGTGAAAGCGAAACTTCTTTGTTTGGCCTTCCAAAAGAGGACACGACTAGAAATCAGTGGTTAAGTTGTATTTACAACACTGTTCCAGAACAATTCGATCACAAATGCAGACATGGTTTTATGTTTACGCGGTGCGATGCAAAAATGTAAAAAATTTAAATTGTAAAAATCTAGCGTTTCAGAAAGGCGGGGCATAGAGGAGAAACAATAATGTACAGTATGTGGAAAATAATGTGTTTTTTAACCTTAAACCGCATAAACACATTTCATTACACCAAATACACAAAATAATGTTCTTTTTAGCAACATCATATGACCCCTTTAATATTTTGGCTTTTGTCACTATTTATTTATTTTTTTAGAAAAAAAAAGAAAAAAAAAACGAGCCAGGGAAGTTTCTGAAATTTGGTTAATTTGACACATAATTGACCCAAATGCTCTTTTTGTACTGTGGAGGGTGCGTTGAGTTCTGCAAGTTGGAGGAGTATGTTTTCATGGTACAATGACCTCTTAAAATAAATCCAATTTATCTATTTTTTCCATGATGTGATCCCTTCAAAGAAGCTTATACTTCTTCAGCGGTTGCTTTCTTAACTTATAGAATCTTACTAAGAGCTGTAAATAAACAGAAAACCACTGAGTCTCACACATCTTATGGGTGACAAACTTGTGGGGCTGTTCTTTGCTTATCCTCTGTCTTTGTTTCTCTTTTCTTTTCTCTTCTGTCTCTTTTGTGTGTGAAATTCTCTGACATCAGGGAAAATAAGATGTTTACTGAGAATGAAATAAGGAACATCATGTTTCAAGTTCTCTCTGGTTTGGCATTTGTGCACAAGCATGGTAAGATTTCTTACACTTTCATTTGTTCTTCTCTGATGTGTTAAAGAGCTTCATAACACCCTTATGCATTTTAATTAGTTCCCAATTACATTTATAATAGTGATATGTGACATGTTTGTTAAAGTTACTTTAGGAAATTAACCTTATTATCCACCAGAAAAGGTGGCTTATGAAAGCCCATTTAAAAAAAAAAAAAAAAAGTTAAATAATTACAAATAATAATAATATATATATATATATATATATATACAGTCGTGGTCAGAATTATTGGCACCCTTGGTA